TCTCCGTGTATGATATCAAAATCGCGAAAAAGAGAAAATAATTAATTGAATCTTCAAAAATTTTCAATATAAATTAAAAAAAACCCCCAGTTCATTGAGACAAATCTCCAGAATAGAAAAACTTCTAAGTGTCTATTTTATACTGAAATTTAACCAACAATTCTACCTGTTTTTTTCAACATCATTCAAATAGTTAGAGTAACGATGGAAGAAGTGAAAATTTGGCGAAATTGTAAAATAATTCTTAAAAAAAAGCCAACCAATTGTTCAAACCAGAAAGATTAATTCTCGGGAGGATTCTAGTAGATTCTCCCCAGGACAGTTAGAAAACTGAGAGAAATGAGAGATAAATAAGAAAGAATAAGTAAAAAAAGAAGAAGTTTGGAAAGGACTTTCCGGACCATAAGCAGGGCTACTTTGTATTCCTCCGGTGAACAAAGCCAAAGTCTCGTTGAGTGTCTTGGCGCGCCGCTGGCGACCATCTTCCTCGTTAAGAGTAGTCCTATACGTAACCAGTATCCTTAATCCTCGTCCGGACCTCTGCTCTCTCGACGGCTGCTGCACAGTAGAATCCTGAATGGGCCAATGTCTTGGAGTTTCAACAAGCGACCTCAAGGTGGAGAATTCCATGTACTTCCGCTTTTCAGTCTTGATGTTCTACTTCTTATGGAGTCTCCCTTTGAGCAATTCATCGCTCTCTTCCTCATTTTTTCTGTTAAATGTACACCCAGAGAAATAAAATGTCCTAAAATACATCTTCTCTAACGTAATCTATGATTGAAAATGGAAATTATCATGTGGTACTTGTCAGGTTTGAGATTAGCAAAGGAAACTGCAAGATGGATTACTGGTCATGGTTTTTAATTGCGTTATTTATGGGGTCGAGTAATAAGGTGAGAGGGACGTTCTATAGTGGAATTCGCGATGTTTATAATCGGGTGAATTACGTAGTTAAAGATGTAAATTACGATTTTTACTTCATTTGTTATGAAATTAATGGAGAAAATTACGAAGTTAAGTCAATAATCAGTGGATTGAGTGATCATTTACGCTTTTAATTACGAAATTTATTTAGTTCAGAAGATAAGGTAAGTTCTGAAACGTGATTTACTATTTTAACCACGGAAATTACGTAATTTAAAGCCTAAATTACGATTTGAAACTCGTGCCTTTCGTAAGAAAAACTGTGAATTATGCGATTATGAACGTAAATAACGAACTTGAACTTGTCCATTCCGTTTTCATTTTATAAATTATCTTGCCAGTACCGTAACCCTATAATTTGTCACTTCCGATCTTGTAATTTATCGGTTCAAACCTCATAATTGACAAGCAATCATAATTTGCGTTTACATTTTTTATGTGTAAAAAAAATTGAGTGAAGATAGTAAAAGCTGTGTTTCATGCCAATTCCACACCGCAAAAGCGAAACTACTCGGTTTTTTAAATCATCGATGGAAGCTGATGTGCATATTTATTTTTCAACTGAGATTGGCAAACTCGATGGAGGAAGTTCCGCCGTCTTTTTCAAATTTCCACGCCCACTTAGCTTCTGCTCGATGCAAACTGCCACATTACTTTCCACATTTTCTTTTGCTCTTCCCTTCCATTACCTCTGAAAAGTTGGAGATTCACGTCAAGATGATGTGGAAACAGGAAATTCAGCATGTCTCCAATAACTCCAGTTGTTCATTCCCCTATCTGAAGGAGAACATTTCAAAAAGTAGAAATGTGTGTTGAGAGACGTAATTAGTACGCACGCCTTCAGGAATAATGAGAAGAGGCTCATTACGGTCCAATTTGAGGTGATAAATTGGGGAGAATTCTGGGAAGACACATATCTGGTTGGTATATGGCTCGGGGGTAGACTCACCAATTCTCGAGCGGTTTTGGTGCGCATAAGGAAATGAGGCACTTCAACTGACATAACTCTGCGGACCAGAAGCACTTCGATCAATGTCCTATTCAGCTTTGGTACACTTGTGCTACACTTCTCGTGATGATTCAATGCATCGATGACTCTGACCCAGTCACTTCCATCCCATCATTTCGCCTTCAGCACACAAAAAACACTAACAATACTGTACACAATCTTAAGGTGGTTGTCGCGC